AATGTTCATCATTTAAGTTTCACCCACATATGCCCCAGCATGAGACGGAGAAGAATTATTCACATTTCGCAAATGTATTATTAACATTATTCACAGATAAGGAACCAGAATCAGGCTTTCAGGGAAATCCACAGCATGTCTACAGGAGGAAAACCCCATCACCCTATGGGGAAAACTCCAAGGGACGTTCACAAACAGAAACTCTGAATCTCCTTTTCATAGGCTGTCGCCTCGCAGAGCGATATAGGGGTTTCCAAGATTAGAGACGCGGCAACAAATGCAATAAAGCAAGTTATGTGAATCTGGAAATAATGCTAGAAAAGTGAATAATGCAAAATCAGCTATGGGCAGGGCTGAAATTGCAAAACACCCCAAGGCACAGTTTACAGTCTCAAAATTAATAAGGGAAACACTGTTAAATACTCAGGAAGGGGAATATAACTTTCTCCTGGGCCCTCTGAGTATTGCAATTTCACTTGGAAAGTTTCAGGCAAGCCAGCTGGGTTGCCAGGCCAAGATATTCCAGGAACAGCCTTGATGCCACTTAGTCTTTCTGGAGACACAGGAGCTCAACCTAACCTCACGCAAGTGAACAAAACATTCGCGGACTTCAATGGCTGTCAGGTCAGACCTTTCATGAGATTTTCCCTTTGGAATAAAAGACATTTTCTCTTTTTTCCTTAGTAGGTATTTGATACCTATGACACATTTTAAGATACCTGCTCAGGCAGGTGTGGGACAAAATGGGAAGGGGGGCTACTATCTGCTTCCCAAGCATGTGGCAGGACAGATTTATTAGGATGAAAAACAGCAGATTCTTCTAGCCATTGCTACTCCCTAGAGACATCTAGTTGGCCCCTCTGCTTCCTCTCTCTCTGTGTATTAGTCCCTGGCACCAAAATGTCCTCCACATCAGGTCCAGATGGGGTGCACCTCCAGCACACAAGAGATATACACAGGAAAAGGTTTTTTAATTCAAAGGACAAACAACCCCATGAGAGAGGCCAACGCTAGATGCACACAGAGATAAAACTACTCAGGAATAATTTCGCCAAACCACAGGATTTTTTAAAAATTAATTATTTCAAAAAATTAAATCAATCATTTCCTTATCAATCACCCGCACCTGCTCTTTTTTTTTTCCTTTCTACTGTATTGGTGAGTGATAAACTCAAAAGATCCCCTTTCCCCCTGCCCTCTCTCCCCTTCCTCTCCCCACTCCAGCAAAAGAACACTTGTATATTTGCTGAGTGAATCGTGGTGAGTTGATAGAAATGTGAAGAACTAAATTGGCAATTTTTGTAATAACTTACTGTCTAAGTATTCAGCAAATCTGGGCATTGTTTCAATAACAAACGTAAGAAGCTTTCCCAAGTGTTCAGTTTAACAGGCTAATGAGGCTTGCTTGGCATCGGAAATCCTATTCTATATAACAGGACATTGAACTCATCGTGCAGAACAGCCTCTTGTTTACAGCATGGGTCCACTAGCTTTGTCTTCACTACAGAACAAGTTCATTGATCTAATGCCCCAACAGGTTTTGAAACACAGACAAAAGTACTTGAAGCCGTCTACCGGCATCCCAAGAACTGGCTGGAGCGGACAAGCCCGCCAGTAGGGTAAAAGGCAAGTTTGATCTAAATCAATTCAGGCTGTCCGTGGGCACAGACAGATGAGACAGATGAATAGATGCACCCACTGCTGCTCCATGGTACGGGATTTTGCAGTATCGCAGAGTCCACCAGTTCTGGGAGCTGTGCAAGGAACCAAACAATAAGTACCAAAGAGCTTTTTAACTAATATGTTCCTTTTAGCTAATGTACTTCACAACCATTTTAGTTTGAATGTAGAACAACTTACATTGGTTCTTAACATTTCTCAGTTTGGCTAGTATGAACTACTGATTTGAGATTAAACTGGTTTAGTACAGTAGGGGCATGTCTCTAGAGTTACTTGAGGAGGAGATATCATATTCTTATTCAATAACTACGTACATCTGCATCACAATGGAAGTTATCACTAATAATGATCTTTATAGATATTTTTGATATAACTAGCCAGTAAGAAAACACCCAAGGTTTTGATGCAAAGTTAAGTTCAAAGATTTCTTTATTAAAATACCTTCTCAAATTCACTGTGGTAACATTTTTGATGGTTGGTGGGATGCTAGTATATACATTTGCCAACAGAAATATGCTACAAAATCATCTGTGAGAAGTTTAAATGTTTTATTTAGGGAAAAAATAAATTAAAAAATACTAGTCTGTAAGAAACAGAATAGTCTTAGACTGGCAAGGGGGGCGGGGCCAAAAAAACCCTTTTTTCCTTTGAAAGGAGATGTCTCAGAGCCTTCAATGCAATGCTTAAAGCAGTTAGCGCGCGCACACACACACACATATATATATATATCTGTATATATAAATCCTTGTAATTTCTCTGTATGAATAACTAGGTTCTTTTTTTGGTTTAGCTTTTTAAAGAATATTTGCCATTTAAAATGACAACCTTCTTACCTAGACCTAGATCCCACAATTAAATCTGCTTTGGAACAAAGGAATAGAGTGCAAGATCGGGGACAAATTTACATTCTCAAAGAACTTCAGCTTCTGGAGCTTTTAGTTTGTGATTATATTTTGTGTCACTGGACTGCGATCTGTCAGGAATTCTTTCAGAAAAGAATCAATATGGCAAACTGATCCACACACTTTTAGCTAGGGGAAGCAATTTAACAAAAAATCCCCAAAACTTGCATCTCTACTGATGTGTGTACTTGGTGAAGTTCTGAATCTCAGTATGGATATCCAAGTTTTAAAAGAGCCCATATTTCAAGATAAATTTAGAGTGCTGCAATTACTATGTAGCACAGATAGTGATAAAAGAGTTGGTGTGGCTACCAGTAATAGTCTGTCCCCTGCAGCTCGAAACAGTCTGTAAAACCCATGTTGGCAGAGCTTCCAGCAGCCGCAACCCCACTGCTACTTGAAGCTAGCTCATGTATCTGTACCCCACATTGTAGTCACAGCAGTAACTGCATTGTAGACACAACCTTACTCTGCTGCACTTCTACTCCCATTTCCCAGGGCAGGATAAAACAGAAATGAGAGAAATAAAACTGTTTAGAGGAAGAAATTGAAGAGGGGGACTCAAGCTGTTGGTCACCATAGGCATTTTCCCATTAGCACTTTTATTTGCAAATTTTTAATTCAGTGCTTTAGGAACATCTCTATTGTTCACCCTGAGGAAACAAACATTGAAAAATAAGAGCCTGGCAAATCCTTAAATAAGTGTCACAGAGTTTTTTGAAACAGATGCAACATCTTCCATCTTGGGTTTGGTTTTGTGTTTTTCTCCCAGCAGTTGATATTCGAGCTGGCTATTCTAAGTGGCATCAGGACAACTTTCAATTTTCTGTTGGGAAAAAGAGAAAAAAATACCCTTGTGAACATACATTCAACCTTCCTTCTTTCTCAGATGAACAAAATCTGCTTAAATATTTAATTTATGGTAACAACAAGACCCACAAAGCACTGAGTTAATCATGGCATTACCCATCAGAAGGAGAGAGAATGACAACAGTAGGAGATCAAAGCTGACAAATATCAAGCCTGATTGTGTACACTTAAGCAATTGTGACTGCAAAAAATACAATTGTGTCCATATATTTTTGGGCACTGACCTGTAAATAAGCAACCAGATTTTTAGTTGCACTGAGCACTAAGGTCAAATGAGGGATGGGGAGGGTGGGAAGGGAGTGGCCACTTCTTCACAGGCCATTTCTTCACACGTATATCACACAGATACAGAATCAGTTGCCTAACTTTAGACACTCAAATTTTAATATCTTAGCTCAAGTGCTGGATCCATAAAAGGATTTGGGGGGGGGTCACAATGCAGAACACTGCAGTGCCAAATTTTAGGTGGCTTGTGACCAAGCAGCATGCACAGGCCTGAGTTAGGTGCTAGTTGCTGCATACACTGGATGGGGTGGTGTCTCAGAATAGAAACCACAGCAACCAGCATACTGATTGGGGTAGCTGCTTCAGCGAGCCAATAGGAAACGTTCATAAAATAGGGTCAGGGGCGGGGTAAGTTGTCATAAGTTCCACCCTTCTCTGGGCACTTCCTGGCTAGCTATGTTAGCACCAGTTCAATGCTTCTGATACGCAGGCTAGCTTGGGTATGTCTGCACAGCTCAGCAATGTGCTGCATGCACATACCTTGAATTCCAGGCTGGAGGGAAGCATTTTACTCCACTGGGGGACTCCAACCCTCAACCCAGGAATAAGGTGTATAAGCTAGTCCAGGGGTAGGCAATGTTTTTTGGCCAGAGTGCCGAAAAAACCACAATGTCTACCTTGGAAGGTGCTGGAGTGCTGACATGCCAGAGCCCAAAGCAACTGTTTGCAGCCTCCCGGCTGCAGCCGGCCCACAGAGCCCAGTCTGCTTGCAGCAGGGCTTGCAGCCTCCCAGCCGCCTGCTGGGAGCAGCCTGGGCTCCATGGCCAGCAGCAGCTGCTTAGAGCCTGGGCTGGCTGTGGTGTGCCGAGCAAAATGGCTTTGAGTGCCGGAGGTTACTGACCCCTGAGCTAGTCTCAGATAATCCACTGCTGAGGATGACATGGTGCCCTGTAACCTAATCACTTAATCTGGCAGCACTTAAGTGCCTGATGCCCTTTGTGGATCTAGTCTTATGCAACTTCTCTGGGAGTCAGGGGCAAAAACTGGAATTAGCCTTCAAGAACTTCTGGTTTCTAACCTGTATTTATTTCACAGGATCACTTTGCCCTTCACATCCTGACAGTCTAGAATTCCTGCAACATTTCTGACTGGACACACCATTCATCTTCATTTCCTGCCTTAAGCTATTGTGTAGCACTACTGGGTGCAGTTAAGTAGATGCCATGTCCCACCTCAGAGGTGGCTGCACTGCACTGTTGGCAAAGAGATCCCCATTTCACACTGAGTTTATGAGATGACTTCAGATCAGTTCAGTACAGACAATGTGTTAAGACCCAAAGATTTCTCCACGTAGGTGGAGAATAGGAGATGTTTGTCCCCCAGAAGGTGTATTTTGCATTTATACTAATGTACACCTGAAAGTACACTGTGTCCTGCGTGAAGCCATCTGTCCACATTTACCACCGGGGCAAAATAAAACAAACAAACAAGTCAAAATGATGGGAGAGGGACCATGAAGTCAGAATGTACTGCTACAGTACATTCAACACAATACCAAATTAGTATTTGGCGAAGTGGCTATCTCATTGTTAAGATATTTCCTTCAATATGTTTTCAGAAACTAAGACCATTAAATAACTTAGAAAGATTGCCAGCTCTGATTTCAGGAAGGAAACCTCCTCCCAGTTCCTCTCTGAGTAATTCAACTAATTTACTCCAGACACTTCCAAGCTGATTTTAGGTTAAAAAAAAAAATAACAAAAAAACCGCAACAAAAAACCCCAATGATCCCCATTTATTTTTCAAACCCATAGATAGAACCTGAGATCCAAAATCCTGAAGCTGACAAGAACCAGGGAAGTGACCAGAAACCCCCGAAAATTAGATCTGGACCATCGCTGCATTTGACCACAATGCAATTTAAATAATTCAGGTGGCTGGGAGGCTAATACACTGCCCTCTTTGACTAAAGTTCATACCAACGTCTTTCTGGGAATCTGTATAATGTCACCCAGGTGGTTAACGTTCTGTTTATTTATTAAAACCTTGACCTCACGTTCATCATCCTCTCACACTGCACAGACCGCAAAGGTCTTCACAGTTTCCATGCCTGGTTTATACTTATTCTAACAATTATGTAGAGGTAGAGGATGGGTGTGGAAGAGAGTGCATGAAAACCATGCTTTGCCTTAAGATTTTCTTGGAGAATATCATGTTTGAATAAGGTTTATTTGAAATGTGGGATATACATTGCTGTCTGAATTCAAACAGGAAGCAGGCACTAAGGATCCAGTCTTGCCTACTCACTACTGTTATTGGAATCGAAAGGGCTATTTGTGCCCCTTGACCCCCTGATAACAAGGCTACAAATAGGGCTCCCCTCCAAAGCTCCTTATTGCCATCTGTCCCACTCCATAGATCATTGTGGTGTTATCTCTGTGATAATGGCAGGTAATGAATGCTCAAGATCTGTGTACAAGCATTTCCTCTGTTTTCTGCAGGAGAAAGCTATCTGTGGAAGAAAGTCAAGTCACTTAGGTTACTAGGAGCCTTTTCCTTTTGATGATTGATTCGCACTCAGATGATCTGTACTTCTGAGGTAAGTCAGAGCACAGAACTTGGTAAAAATAAGCTCCAGAGAAAAAGTACCACCAAAAAATGAGAACAAAAGACTCTTTTTGCCTCTTCTCTGCTTTTATGTTGCCTAACAGAATTGAGAGGCAAAAGGAAAATTTATGAGCAAATCTACCCTTCTGATCCTCACAGTATATCACTTCTCTGGAGAAAGCACAAAACATTCAAGCTTGCTCCTCAGCAGTGAAGGATGCAAGGCCTGCTTTTAACCAAGAACTTCACTGAGGATTGATCCCCCAGGTCTGGATAAATCAGGATTGGGGGAAGGGAGTTTACCACGTATGCAAAAGCAACAGCAATTCAATTATTTAAGCAGCAGCCGTTAAAGTATTTAGCTGCACAAGGGATGCTTAATAATGGAAATGTTCTATATGCTAAATGAATGTGTCAAGGTTACCAACATGGTCTCATGCATTGTACTAGAGAATGCATTTTCTGAGAAGCCTCTTACTCACTCTACGGTGTTAATTTTGCTGGCACGCTTCAGTCCCGCTACCAGGAATCTGTGGACTGTGGAACAACCATGAGAGACGACCTCTGCAAAAACTCAGGTAAGATGCACAACTAGCTGGAAAGCAGACCTTTCTTTAAGGTATTCCTAACAAATTAACATTTGTGACAGTCCATCTACCTTTATGTAGGAAGTAAGACAAGGAAAACATCAGCCTGAAATCATCTCCTCCTCACATGAAGCATGCCAGGAGACAGCAAGATCTCAGAGCCCAATTAATTATATCCAAAATGGTTTACACGGGGTTTTTAGAAACATTTACTGTAAGCAAACCGTATGATATTCAGAAAGCAAAACAGCCCCATGATACCACTCTGTTGTGCCTTCAGGTCTCCTTACTGGTAAATGAGGAAAACCAATCCCCAAAACAATCCCAAAGTGCTTAAGTTTTGCCCAGCGATAGTACCTTTCATCCAAAGAGCAAGAAGTGCTTTGTAAACTTGAATCAATGAAAAGACTAAGCACTCCAATGAGCGAGATACTAAATTCAGCTTGCCCATTTGTGCAACAGAGTGTGAAACTCAATTTAGGTTAGTGATTAGTTGATTAAGTTAGTGACAGAGGTGGAGAAAGAACCCAGGGGGCTGCCTGGAAATTCTGTTTTGACCTGTAACACAAACCCCCCCTGGATCCCGATAGACCTGGGAAATACATGTGTTGGCTGCATACTGCAAGAGCTCAGGTCATGCTAACAGCTGGATTGTGTGTAGAAACCCCGTTTGAGGATGCTGAAGTTGCTGGTAAGTTGCAAACAAAGTGCCCCGTCCTGCATGCCTTGCCCACCCCAAAACTCCTCTTGAAGTCCCAAGGGCTCCCCCAAAAATAAGGTTGGTCTCCAAAAGACAATGCAGAGTGCTGAGAAGGGACAATCTGTCTTCCTTGGTCCCAAACCACCTTCACCCTAGAGCCTGATAGAAACGAGCTGTATTCTCCCCTAGTGAAATCCTGGGGTCTGACTGGTGTAACAGGGAGGACAGCTTGGCTTGATTTAATTTTAGAAGCTAAGATCAAAGACAAAAGCCCAGCCTTTAAGCTAGAAGAGACAAAGCCATGAAAAACCCCATTTGGCCATTAAAACATGCCTATTTACTTAAACAGGCTCTGTGAACTTCTCTGCTCTTCCGCGAGACTGTAAACAATGTCAAGGGTTTCTTTTGTTTCCCATGTGGATGCAAGCGCTGATGGAGGGAGCAGCACTGACTTTCAGAGCTCAAATGTCTGTCGTCAGCTGCTGCAGACAGTGCCATTGTGATTATTATTTATGAGTTTCTTATTTTCTTGAATTCTTTTTAAGTAAATGCTTTTGAGTCACATCAAGCAGCAGGAAAAAAAACACGCTAGCTCTCATTTGGAGTTGGGCTAGCATTTTATCTAAGCAAACACAGACTTCTTTCCCCTTGGGCTTCTGCTTGGGGACGCAAGTAACTGAGGTCATGGTGCTGACCCTGCCAATGACTGAGATCATTCAAGGCAAGGCTAGAGGAGGGATCCCATTATCTTGCTTTAAGTCAGCAGGTGACTGGATCCCTGTGTTTCTCACCGACATCTGCCTCAGTTCCTGTCTTCACACTTTTCATGAGTTATCTGTCAGAACACCTTTTTCCTGAGGTCAAATTAACTCACAACCTGACCTCCTGATATGATCCTCCTCTCTTTGTGCAACTTTACACTCTCGTGAAGGCAGGTGCATTTTACTATGAGTTTCTCATCTGAAAAATAATCGACATTATAAACAGTTCAGAGCAGGGACTGCATTGACCCGTCTGTCTCCCCTGTGCCCAACAGATTTCAGGTGTCAGCACAATAACAGTGTTAATAATAATACTTAATAGCCATCACATGATTGAACAGTGCCCTGTAGGCACTGTGGGTGGTATTCTATAAATAACAGTAATTTCCACATTTCTGAAGTGCAGGCTCTTTGTTTCTTGCAGTTAGCAGAGCTGAGCAATCCCTCATTCAAGGCGTTTAGCCTCTTGTTTTCTCTGCAAATTGACTTTCTCTCCAATTGGCTTGGTGGTCAAACTATTCACCAAAAGATCATGCACAAAATTTGAACCACAAATGATTAGCTTGACTGAGCTCTGAAGTCAGACTGTGTTGCTTCTAATGTCTGACTGGATGAGAATAAGTGATGTAATTGGGTCAAAATTTGCTTTCCATTAATACATCCTTAGAATATCACACATCCTGCCAAGCATCCTTTTAGTCAACCTTTTTTCTAATACATTGGATAAAAGTAAATGCAGAAAGTGTTGGGCTGCCCTGTCAGATTGATGGCTGGTGCCTCTAAGTAAAACCAGCCTGGCAGTTTAATGCATCCTTTTGGAGAGTGCCATCCATGCCCCATGCTAGCTTCTGCAATATCAGGTGCTCCATATGACCTTTAATGTCAACCAATATAGGAATAAAGTGCAGAAAATCTTGCTTGTACGTATCCAACAAAGTGTTATGAGGTTAAAAGCAAGTAAGTGCTCTGGTATGCTATTTTACTAGTCAAACGTTTAACATAATACATTTTTCCAGTCTCGATTTAAATTTCAAAAAACAAAACAGATATACTTACAGAGTATCTGTTTTCCCCAGAATCTGGAAAATAAAAGAGAGCTTAGAAGAATGCCATCTTTCAGCATGACAAACTTTATGTGCAAATAAATGAGATGCTTAGATTAAGGTAATTTGCACTGTATTCAGTATTTTGCAATGGTATATACTTGCTAGCTGAGGGGCTAGAAAGTGAATGTTCAGACTTCCAATCCAGCAAAGTACCTAGGCAGGTGCCTAATTTAAGCATGTGATCAGTACCTATTGATTTCAAAGACTGACTTCAATAAAATGCAAGCATATGTTCATCTATTCTGCTGACTGAAGACTACACAGCAAGACAGGAGCCCCCAACTCCAGGCAAGCAGTCAGGTGGTGGCCCTAGATTTTAGGAGGGCAAATTTCAACGAGCTAAGAAGGATAGTTGGAGAAGCGCTGAAGACTCAGATGGAAGGGGAGCCGGGTGTCCAAGGGGAGTGGTCGCTCCTTAAGGAGACGATCCTCCAAGCCCAGGGGAAGGTAATCCCCAGGAGGGTCAAAGGGAGCAGGAGAGCATATAAGCCTCCGTGGCTCACTAAAAACATCCGGGAATGTCTCCTTGCCAAAAAGGAGGCTTACTCCCAATGGAAAGGAGGGGTCATCACGATGGAGGACTATTCAGCAG